TCAATAGATAAATCAGAATCAGTATGAATGATATGAATGTGAAACATATGCGAAACATATTCAGTCAGATGTAACTTGGTATTTTCCAAGTCATTCTCTCTTCGTTGACGGAGTTTGGTCTTCTGAGTCTTCTGCTTGCGAGGCAGCGGTTTCTGCAGGTGACCTGCGGCAGATGGCCTTGGCCTGTGGCAGGGCACAGTGCTTCGACGGTGATTTGATGGAGGCGCCCCTGATCTGGAAAAACCTGCAGTGGGTTGGGACATGTTGGGACAAGGTCAGGATGAGTCCAGTTGGAAACATCTTGTTTTGGGATATGGATGGATATGGCTTGGAGCCTGAACTCATTCGACTGGGCGGAAGTTCGACTGGGAGTGTATTTATCCAACTGAGCACCTGAGAGTTCCCTCGAGTTGCGATGCATGTCCCGTGTCCAGAGGCCATGGTGCCACTGATTGAGGAGCGACTGCAAGATTTCCGCCCCAAAGAGTTGGTTCAAATTGCGGATGCCTACGTCGCTCGCCTGGTGAGGGCTGTTGGTCCACAAGGCAGGTGATTCTTTAAGGGAAAGTCATAATACTGGACAGTAGGATAACATGGCCATTTATTGGGGGTACGTATTCAGTTTTCAGGCCCGTTGGGGGTATCAGTTTTCAGTTTTCAGGCCCATTTTGATACCCCAAAGTGGGAAACCTTGAATACTGTACCAGGAGAGAATCAGGTTGCTATTAATAGCTGGATATGGCTGGCATATGGCTGCGATAGCAACTCCACTTTTCTGAGGCGCGCTTGCCGGTGCGGGTCTGAGCTGTCATGGTTTCTGGATGGAGGAGATGAACAAACTAAGCCAACGTGGCAAAATGGATCTGCCAGGCACATAAGTACTGTAGTGATTGATTTATAGTTCATAATATAATATATAATATATATATATATACAATATAATATATATATACAATATATAATATATATATATAATATATATGGGAGCCGTCCAAAAACCCCAGAAAGGTTTTTAGTAAAGGACCTATTCTCGCATTTTTCCCATGGTCTAAAACCTGCATCGCGCAAGTTTCGCGCAAGGGCGGCCCAAGGTACGCGCAAGTACTATTGTTATCATTATTACAAGTACTATTTTTAGTTAACATTTTGATTACTACTACTACTACTACTACGACGACTACTACTACTACTACTACTACCACTACTACCACTACTACTACTACTACTACTACTACTACATTACCACTACTATTACTACTACTACTACTACAACTACAACTACAACTACAACTACTACAACAACAACAACTACTACTACTACTACCGTATCTGATTTAGATCTTAAATATTAATATCTCGAGTTGATAAACATAGATAACCAGGGTGGTAAATAGGCCATCCAAAGAAAAAGGAGCAGATAGATAGATAGATAGATAAATAGATAGATAGATAGATAGAGATAAAGCAGCCAACGCGGTCCGGAAGACATGCAGCAGCAGCCCGGAGATGGTGAGCAGGAAGGGGTTTCAGAGTGGTTTCAGACCTCTTTTGGGCTTGTTTTTTGGGTACCCCCAGCTTTGGGAGATGAAAAAAGAAAGAGAAAAGGTAGAGAAAGAGAGAGAGAGAGAGAGAGAGAGACAGAGAGAGGAAGAGGGAAAAGAGAGAGAGAGAGAGATAGAGAGAGAGAGAGAGGAAGATGGAAGATGGAGACAAACAGAAGGCGAGAGAGAGAGAGAGAGACAGAGAGAGGAAGAGGGAGAGGAGAGAGAGAGCGTTGTAAATGGTGAGCAGCGGGGTGTTTCAGAGTGGTTTCAGACCTCTTTTTGTCCGTAGGCTACCTCAGCTTTGGAGAAAAAACAGGAAAGAACGGGAAAAGAAAGAAGAGAAGGGAGAAAGAGACAGAGAGAAAGAAGAAGTCTTGAGACGGTGAGCAGGAAGATGTGTCGAACTGGTTTCAGACCTCTTTTGGGGCCGGTTATGGGGCTACCTAGTCTTAAGACATCCAAAAGAAGGGGCTCAAAACAGATTGTACTTGAAACACATGCGGTCCGGAAAGACGTGCAACGGTCCGGAAAAGCAAGCACCCAAAACGTACTCTAATCGTAGCGATTGCGGTCCGGAAAGGCATGCAGCGGTCCGGAAAAGCGAGCACCCAAAACGCACTCTAATTGTAGACATTGCGGTCCGGAAAGATGAGCAGCGGTCCGGAAAAGCAAGCACCCAAAACGTATTCTAATTGTAGCCATTGCGGCCCGGAAAGACATGCAGCGGTCCGGAAAAGCAAGCACCCAAAACGTACTCTAATTATAGATATCGCGGTCCGGAAAGACCTGCAGCGGTCCGGAAAAGCAAGCACCCAAAACGTACTCTAATTGTAGCCATTGTGGTCCGGAAAGACCTGCAGCGGTCCGGAAAAGCAAGCACCCAAAACGTACTCTTATTGTAGACATTGCGGTCCGGAAAGACGCGCAGCGGTCCGGAAAAGCAAGCACCTA